ATTCAATGAATTTATTGCTAAGTTTAACAAATTGATGTTAGCTATATGAATTAGCAACTACTCTACATAGTTAACATCTATTTTTTGAGATTATCATATGACTTAAATCATTAACATGTGAAGTATAAAATTGACATCTATTTTGTAAACTTAACATCCATCTTCAAAGATTAACAATTTTTTTATAACGTTAATTGCAGAGCTTAGATTAGAGGAAACAAGAAGAAAAATAAGAACCAGGGAATATTTGGAGAGGAACATCGAGATTGTATTCATCGATTCATCTAGATAAGAACAAGTATAATCCTAATACATTTTATTGATTATATTTCTCAATGTCTCATCTGGTTGCTATTTGTAATTACACGGACGACCCTGAGGTTGCTATTTGTAATTACACGGGTGATCTTGAAGCCTAAATAACAAACTAGTCCCGAGGTTGCCCATATAATTACAATTACTAATCTTAGAATCACCCTTGTAGATACATAGACTCCAAAATCACCCATTTAATTAATCAGACCTCATGGTACCTTAGTGTAATTAATCCCTTTTTCTATTCTTCCAATCCCATGGCTTTAAAAATGGTTTCCCCCCTAAAAACCACCTTAAACACAAAGTAAGTATACATAAATCATGTTTCAATTTCAATTTTAATTTATATATAATAACCTTTAAAATAGGTTTTGTTGCAATCAACCACCTCCTAAATAAATTTTCACTAAAAATTCAAAAGTAATCTGAAAATATTCAAGTTCAAAATATATGAGTTGCATCCAGACCTAAATACTTTGAATGTGATTTTTTTAACAATAATTTTAAATTTTCAGTAAAAAGTTTCATCGGAGATTATTGATCGTAGTAAAAATTCATTTTAAAGAGGAGTTATGTATAAACTAGAAATGAATGATGGTTCCCTTATTATTATCCTATTTTCTAAGTGGTCGCTACGAAAAAACCCCTTTAAAGAGCCCCTTCAATTAGCCTCAAACTATTTTGTAATTAATTTCAATCAAGATTTTCTTCTAGCGGAGAAGAAGAAGAAGAAGAGCTTGAGAAAGCTCTCAATTCTGGTGAGAACAAATTTCCTTTACACCTTTTTGCCTTGGTTCGTTTTACAGTTTTTTTTTAATTCCTTTATTTAAGCTGTAAAATGTTTCCAATTCGACCGATTCAAATGGGTCTCTTCCAAAAAATCCTGAACGTGCTGGCGATTGTTAAGGAGGTGTTTGTTTCAAATCCTATAATTTTAGGATATGGATTTCACCATGGAATTTGAAATCCATAGGTATTTTGTTATGAGTTGGGATTTCTAAAATGTTGTTTGTTTCATTAATATTTTGGGATTTGAAATACTACATTTTGTTATGAGTTGGGATTTCTAAAATGTTGTTTGTTTCATTAATATTTTGGGATTTGAAATACTACAATTTGTAATATTTTTGTTTGTTTCAAGCTCAAATTGTAGCATTACCAAATACCAAAAATTTATAATATGATGAATATGCTATCTTTTTTTTGACTGAAAACAGGGTGAGATACCCTGCATTAAAATATATATATAAAAGATGTTTCTAGTAATAAATTACAGATCTGACAACTGATACAAGTCTAACCAAAGAGTGGTCAAAAACAAACAAGACTCAATAAGACTTGCTACACATAAGCACTAGAGAGCATCAAAACAAAACAACAAGTGCTCCAAAATAGACTAAATGCTTCAACCTCTGCCAAGCATCAAACAAGACGCGAAAAGCTCCAAAATAGGCTGAGAGCTTCAGCGTCTTCAAAAGGAGGCCAGAAAGACAACAGAGAGGAGGATAGGAGGATCAACCTGCGGTTGAGAAGTTATCACCCACATCAGCATCGCTGTTAGATTGTGCGATATGCTTCAGTCCCAGGTTGATTGCCGCTTGATGCAGCTTAGGTCCAGATTTACTAGCGTTAGTACCTGTCCAAGATAGAACATGTCTAGCTACATTAGAAGCAATGCGATGATGACAGACTTCGATCCCATTAAAGACGAAGTTGTTGCGGCTATTCCATAAACACCAACAGAAGCACGGTAAAAGGACTCTCCAAAATAAAATGATGTCCTGATTGATTGCAGAAAAGAAATTGAGAGAGATCATGTCTTCCAGGTTTTGAGGCCGATCAATAGATAGGATGAGTGGAAGAAGAAGAGACCACGTTGAAGACAAGATGGCACACCTAGTGAATAGGTGATCATGAGATTCGATGACCTCATTGCAAAGAGGGCAGAGCGGACTACCTTCCCAACCTTTAGCAGCCATATTCTCCCTGGTATTCAACTTGGCTGGCAATCCAGAAAAACACTTTAACCTTCAAAGGAGTAAGGGAGTTCCAAATGAATTTGTAGTAGTGAGAGGTAACTCCACCCGAGGTTATGAGATCGTAGAATGATTTGACAGAATAAGAACATGAAGGAAGATAAGGCCAGTGAAGCTTGTCGTGAGAAGCTGAAGCTTGGATTGAGAAGTAGGCTAGGTGGTTAAGGAGAGCATTTGTCTCATCCTTAGCTATCTGAGTGATACCTCTCCTCAGGATTGGATGCCACTGCCAAGTAGAAGATTGCATTAAGCCTTGCGATAGAATGGAATAGTTTTCTGAGAAAGCCAGAAGGTGAGCATTTGGGAACATACTACTCAGGGAGTTGTCTCCTGTCCATTTATCCCTCCAAAAATTTAAGGGAATATGCTATCTTGGTGAGGTTACTTTCCACAAAAAGATAAATTTAGGATTTGTCAAATCCTCTCCAATTGAGAGATAAGCACACCTATTTATGAGATTTGTTAAAATCCTCTCCAATTGAGAGGATTTGACAAATTCTAAAAATTGGGCACTTTTTGCACTTTCAGGATTCAATATTCTAATTTTTTTTAAAATAAACATCATATATGAAATCCCAAAATACAAAAAACTCACTTTATAATCCCAAAACTTATAATCCATACCAAATGCCAAAATTTTTAATAAAACAAACACCCCCTAATAGGAAAGTAAAGATTCCACAGCTGAACTACCACATGAAAAATTAATTTTGTGGCTAAAATACTTTAGCAAAAGTGCAATAACTTGATCACATGAGCATTTTAATTTTAGGGTCTAAACATAATTTTTCCTTGAAATTTGTTATTTTCTTTTTCATCACTGTAATAATTAATTTCTCAATCTATTGTATTTATTAACTTTTCATAAGAAGAAATCTCTAAAATCAATTAAATTCAAGGAGTTTACAGTAAAATTGAGTCCATCGAATTAGTGGTTACAACATAATTGAGTCTATTGAATTATTGGTTAATCCATACAATATTAATTAGTCGCAATATAGTTCATTGTATTAATATATTTTTGAGTAGGGAATGTCGCCCTACTTTTTCTTAAAAATATATTTTGTTGTGATAAATAGTTATAGATGTATTATTTAATAATCCGAATCAAAGGAGATTTGTTTTAAAAAATATATATAAAATACAACATTTACTGGAGATAGTGTCAAAAAAAAATATATAAAAGACAACATTTTGAGTAGGGAATGTCTATTTGTATTTCTTAAGTAGTTGCTAAGAGGAAAGTAAAGGTTCCATTAATATACGGAGAATTTTATCATTACATTAGTTATTATTTAGCGTAGGAATACCACTGTGATATGTGCATAGGATCCACAGATGACGCCAAATTTGGTCGGATTTAGGCGAATCTGACAGCGACAGGGCTTGTAACAACATGTTTGTTCGAAACCCACTCGAGTTTCCCCCTTGAAACCAGCCCTTTCCCTGGTGATCGCCTCATGACGAGGGTGACATTGAAGTCCTTGTCCTGTTGGACTCTAGAAAACGAAAGTTGATACGTAGAAAGGTACATGCTGACCCCGGGCGGCTCCTGGACCCGTGCCTGGTAAACCTCATTAGCATCCCCTACGTTCGTCATTGTTCGTTGCATGGTCTGGGTCCTTGAGTTTGAGCTGAGAGATACCGCGATGGAGGGGTAATTCAGCTGTGGCGGGCTGGTCTTTTTGTGTCGGGAGCAATTAACAGAATAGCCAACTGTCCAGTGCACTTCAGTGTTGTTGTACCCTAGGCCACAAAGGTATGAGATGAAATCGTCGTGAGTTAGGTCGTAAATGAGACCAGGATCCATCGCCCCGGCTGGATTCACCTGGCCCGCTCCTGTGGTGTAGACACCGGCTGTCTTATTGTCCGCCTCGTCCTTGATGGGGTTCCCGTCAAGATCTAGCTCCTTGGCCGAGGTTATGATGGCGGATTGGATCGCTGCTGGCGACCACTGCTTGTGTTTGTACTTGATTAAAGCGACGATTCCAGAAACGTGAGGAGCGGCCATGGAGGTGCCGCTCTCATAGTTGAAGTTTTTAAGGATGAACGGGTTAGGATTAGGTCCAACTCCAGATGGCCATGCTGCTAGAATGTTCACGCCTGGTGCAAGGACATCTGGCTTCAAGATGTCGCCGTTCATCTCGCTTGGACCCCTAGAGGAGAAAGAAGCCACTGCTGGAGATGGTCGGAATCCATATTGTGCGTAGTTGAACTTGATTGCTGCGGTAGGAGTGGAGTTTGACATTATAACGTAGTCTCTGATCTTTATCCCATCCACAAAGCTAACTTGGACAGCTGGAAGGATATGAGCTTCAGAAAATGTGGTATATCCCTGGAATGGTAAGTTCGTAGCGTGCTCCTGCTGCATATACTATCTCTCCCTTCTTAATGTTATCTATCACCCCATTCCAGCATATCACCAATTTACCACTTACATCGATGTGATCTAATGAGCCATTTAGGCAATACGTAGCATTAAAATCCCCATATCTGCCAGGAAATTCAATGGGTAAATATTCGGAGGAATTGTAAGATAGGGGTTGAAAGGCAGTTTCTCCTTGTAGTTCCATTCCATTTCCGAGCTTTACAGCTGCGCTTATTCTTCTGTCAGTTGAGCTCGCTCCTACTGTCAAAACCCACGGGGCACTATGGGACAATGAATTTTTTAAAAGGGCCACTATTGCCTGCGGATGCACAATTGGAGATTCCCTTCTTGAATGCTGCTAGTGAACCTTGTGCGATTGAATCAAAATAGAATGTTGCATTATGTGCACCACCAATTGACATTGAGATTATATCGACTCCATCCGTGATAGCCTGATCTATGGCTTTAAGTGTATCACGCCCCCGACAGCCATCCTCGAAGCACACTTTGTAGATAGCTAGGTGAGCTTTAGGTGCCATTCCAGCGGCCTTACCCTTGGCTGTCCCAAGAACGTTAGCGTCGTCCACGAAATTGCCTGCAGCCGTGCCTGCCACGTGGGTCCCATGCCCTGCTGTGTCTAATGGGGAAGGACTGGTTCCATTTCGGAATGCTCTTGCACCGATGATCTTATTATTGCAACTGAGGTAATAACACTTACCCTTCCATTTAGTAGGTGGAGGAGGCATTAGATTGTCGCTAAAAGATGGATGGTTCGGAAAAATTCCAGTGTCAATAATTCCAATTATGATGCCTTCGCCATACATGGTGCCATCCCATGCTCCTCCGAATGGCTTGCTCAACCCCAAGAACTCAGGGGTATAAGTGGTTTCAAGGTGATAGAGCTTGTCAGGGTGGGCATATAAGAAGCCTTCCTTACCTTCCATAGCCTTCACTTCCGTAGGAGTTAGCCTCGCAGCAAAACCGCTGATTGCGTGTCGATACGAGTACACCAAACGAGGTGCTCCCGAGTCTAGAGTGTTGTTAGGTAGAAAGGATTCGTACCACCTTTCAAGATCTATATCGCTGAGAAGCTCAGCTTCCTCGGTGTTTACTACATGAACGATGTAGGTTTGCGTCTGGCCAGGATTGCCTCCTTGATCATTGACCACTGGGAGAAGCTTGCCATGGCTTGAAAAAAGAGTAAAATTTGATAGCAAGAAGAAGAGGAGAGCTAAGTAAAGGGCCATGGGAGTATCTCAGGTCCTGAGGATGTGGATGGCTTGAAGGATTGATTGCTGAGAGTTGATATAATGGTTGAGAGATGCCAATTACGAGGTAGGGTTCTGTTTTCTTGACACAAGACAGCAAAGGAAATTTCTTTTCTGATTAAATGTATAACATAATGCTCATTAATAGAAGGAATAAGACAAGAACGTTGTATATCATGCAGCGCTTATGTTATTGCCATCAATAATGAGAAAAAAAGAGACCTATTAAGTGTTTGTCAGCTCAAGGAAAAAAGAATACTATGTTTTCCAAATTTGGCCTCATCTTAAGATTGTCTCTGAAGAATAAGAGGGTTTAGCACTATTTAATCACTGACAATTTTGCTAGATAGGATTTTATATTTCAACCACACTTCCTGATTACTGCTATTAGATAAGTTTTATATAATTGTTTTGCTAATAATTTATGCCGTGTTCTATATGGGCCAGCAACCTTTTCTTAATACAACAGTTCAACTTCTTACACTTCTTTAAAAAAATTGTTTTTTGACTGTTCATGAGACGATGAATACATGATAATCAACTCCTTTGATTTTGTGTCACACTTTAATCCACTGAGCTGGTGATTTCATGCGCAGATGTTTGATCTGCCATAGACTCACTTGCAACTTGCATATGAATTGTTCCCTTAAGTGTACAGCGTCCTCTTTGCTTGGTGGAATATTAGGAAAAAAAATTTACGCATATTCTCCTCTCCACATTTCTTGATTTGTTTGATTCTGATGAGCCAAGAGAAATGGAGTGCTTCAAGAGTACTATGCAGTAAGCTGACACGGAAATTATTGGTTGCCAACTTTCCATTCATAAAGAAGAGAGTATTATCTTCTATAGGTTTGCTTTCAGATGGCTTTGTACAATGAAATGCTGAATCACTTGAGGTTTCTGGGAGCATGATTAGTGGTTTCCCATGCGGGTTTTTTAGCCTCTATGCCAAACAAAGATGGTGCTGTTGGATTTAAAGATCAGAAGATGAAATTTCTCTGTTCATTTTGGTTCATCTTTTAAAAGGTCAACAGATGAAATTGTCACAGATCAGAAGATGAAATTTCTCTGTTCATTTTGGTTCATCTTTTAAAAGGTCAACAGATGAAATTGTCATTTCGGAGCGAGAAGGTGATGCTCTTCTCAGTTTAAAAGAAAACTTGCTGGAATTGTAGAAGTTGATCATCATTGTTTGCTGCAGATAGGATGCTCCTTATCAGTTGAGACTACACATCTTGAATTTATAGGGCAAATTTCAGAAAACTACCATGGACTTTGGGAGGTGTGGTTTCACAAATTACAAAACTACCACAGATTTTTAGAAAACTACTATTAACTTTCAATGATGCAGAAAAATGTCGTGAACTGTTGGAGGTTGTTGTGTATAACGTTAATGGCTTGGATAAAAGGTCTAAACTACTCTTGAAATTGGAAGAAGGAGAGGCTAATTTAGAAGATATATCATGTACGTAAGGGCAAAACTGTCTGAAGTACGTCATGTGCGAAGCTTATGATAACTTACTCCAACTGCCATCGGACATGGCGGTTTCGTTAAACAAGTTCATGCACACTTTACTAATAAAAAAATCATGGTAGTTTTTGTTTTCTCAGAACCACCGAACTTTTTTTTAATTTCACGATATAGTTCTTGATATTCCATCAACTGAAATAATTTTCCTATATTAGTCTTTATGATATTTGTTTTGAAACCTTAATTAAGGTAATCTTTTTGCTAATATACTTTCTGTTGTTGGCTTATTCTATAGAATGCACGTGAAACCTTAATTAAGGTAATCTTTTTGCTAATATACTTTCTGTTGTTGGCTTATTCTATAGAATGCACGTGACAAAAGTTTAAAGAGCAAATGGCTTATTCTATAGAATGCACGTGACAAAAGTTTAAAGAGCAAAATAGTAGGACAAGCTATAGTATCATGACAAGTTTACTGTTTTAATTTGGTTTTAAAAATCGGGACTAGAAGAAGACTTGTTCTATATAGCATGGGTACTTTTATCATGAAGATGTGCCCGTACCCAACACAAAGACACCCATATGGCGCACTCTTCAGATATTTGCATACGCTTACTCAAACATATCCTCAGTTATACAATATTGATGTTTTACTTTGAACACTCTTAAATAACTTTTGGACATATAACCTACAATTCACATACAATTCTTTATATATGTTACATACTTGAGATGTCTATTTATTTCCATTCTCCAAAGACTAGTGGAATGCTATAAAATATTGATATGTACAAAACTAAATTTAGATTATATCCAACATTTTGTATAAATCAAATAGCAAAGTCATATCCTTAATAAAAATATATGGTAGATCAAAGAAATAGCATACATGTAATCAATTTACCTATTTTATTATTCGAAATAATAGTTCAGGATCTTGAATGCATGAACATGTGTATCTATGCATGTATATAACTCTTTGAATGATGGATATGAGGTGGCGGTTCAGTTCGCTAAATGAGCTACCAAGAGACAAAGTGGTGAGGTCCACACATTTTGATGTGACTAGCAAGATAGGCCTCACCACATGGCTATCTCTTGGTAGCTCATTTAGAAAATGAGTCACCATCTCATACCTATTGTTGTTGCTATGTCCTACTTCTTGAAGAATTCCTGTGTTCCATGTCCGTACCTATGTCGTACTGGTATCCCGTGTCCCTATCTATGCTACTTAGGACTGGCGCTTTATGTTTGCACCTTAGTATGTAGCAAAGTTACCTTCAAGATAAAGCATGCCAAGAAACCTATTGGACTCAATTTGTGGCCTCTTTCACACCACGTTACAACGAGAATGAGAGAATCTAAGCATTAGAAGAACCAATCTTTTATACAATTAAATTCAATGAAGGCTATAACTGTTGAGATTTAGAGGGTTCAACATTTTATCAAAAGCCACTTGATTATACATGTTCTGTCTCTCATTCGTTTTTACCAGACAGATAGCCAAGCCAAAGAACACAAGGAAAAATGGTCAAAAACAATTTTAAATCACAAGGGTAAAGTAGGAGCTAAGTGATTAGAGCTAGTGCTCCTTGTGTGTGTGTGCGTGCGTGCATGCAAAGTGCTAAATACTCTTGATAATGTTATCGAATGCTAGTCATTAGCTTTTAGACTGTGGCTTAGTTTGTCACAATCTTGGTACTTTGTTGCTCATAAACTTCCAAATAAGAACGCAAACATTTTCTTGAAGTATTGTTTGTGAGGAACAAATTTTCGAATTAAACCCATTTAATTTTTTATTATAAAATTCGACTCATCCGACCCATTTCGTGCCACGTCAGCAGTGTGGCCACGAAATGGGTCGTTTTTTTTTAAATGACGCCGCTAAATAGTCGGGGTTACCAATCCCGACTATTTAGTTATGTCGGGGTTGGCAACCCCGACTATTTAGCTATGGACAAGCTAAAATAGTCGGGGTTTCCAACCCCGACTAATTTAGGCCCCTCTCTAATTGGTCGAGGTTGGCAACCCCGACCATTTGGCAGAGAGGTAGCTGATGTTTATTTTGCTACGACAAAATGATCGGGTTTGGGAACCCCGACCGTTTCATGTTCGTGCATAAAATGGTCGGGGTTCCTGTAGGCTGTCTAAAAATCACAATAGATAGCTGACCCTCATCAGGTTATAATCAGATAGCTCTCATGAAAAACTGCAAATAGAGGACTTTTCATATGGATTGAGAAGAGTTACAATTCAACGATACTTCCGACAACTAATGAAAACTCGATTCAGTGGTCTTCACAATCAACAGTAAGAGTTACAATCTGACGACTTTCACACCCCACAACAGCTAAAGCAAGGACTAACGAGCAACAACCTTCGCAATACTATAATAGAAGATGTTACAAGTCAACAACCACTTCTAAATGCAGAGTCTACCTCTTCGCTTCTCAAATCAAAACGCAAGCGGCCCATGCGTTCTTCAGCAGTTACCCAACTCTGCGTCTCAAATCCAAGACGCAGAGTTAAGACCCAGAGTGCAAACGGCCCTTGCGTCTTCAATTTCCAGCAGACATTCAACTCTGCTTCTAAAATCTGAGACGCAGAGTTAAGACTCAGGACGCGAGCGGCCTGTGCGTTGCCAATCTATAGCAGGTACCCAACTCTGTGTCTCAAGTCTCAGACGCAGAGTTAAGTTTCAGAACGCTAATTTAGGCGTTTGACTTGTTCAAACACAAGCTGAACGGCCTCAAAACCGTTTATCCCATGTTTTGAGGGATTTTCGCCCACTTAGGAGCGGATTTAGGGGTTGGTTACACCCCTTATCCCCCTATAAATAACCGCATTACTCAACTAAGTGAGGGGTTGAAATTTTTCGACAGAGATTGAAATCTTTTGAAGATTAAGGGCGAATTCTGGTGAGATTGGAGATTGGGGCTAGATTTCGAAGATCAAATCATCTACGAAATCAGCGCAAGAGAGCTCTTAGCAGTTAGGAGATCGGATCCTTCAGCAACAAACAAATCCACTTGACTACTAACCGATTATTCGGTTTTCAACAACTCTTTTCAGAGTTTTCAACTCATTCTGAGTTCTAATACTCGTTAAGAGTTCACAACCAAACTTGTCATACAAGTTAATTGTTCTCGTGAGACAAGATGGTCGGATCATCAACGGAGAGCAAATTCGAAGTAGACATTCGAAGGAGGCACTCCATCGCTACCGTGAAGAACCCAGTATTAAACAAAGGGGGGAATGCAAATCATTTTCTTCTCTTTTGTAATCGAAATCCAATTGTAATTAAGATCGAGAGAATCTAAATCAATTTTTTTTTCATTTCTTTTACTGCAAATTTTCTACCAAACAAAAGATGGCGACTCCATTGGGGAATAGCTTTTCTGATGAGGAAGTGGTGGCGCAATCCGACATCCACCTTACTGGAACAACTGTCGAAACTCTCATTGTAGAGTTCGACCAAGCCAAGTACGAGGAGGCCCTCTCCTCTGGA